TAAAATGCGCTGTATTTGATAAACAACATTAGCTTTTCTCTGGTTTTAAACTTGCAAATAAATGAGCTATTGTTAAGGAGTTTAAGGATAATAGACAGTCAGATCAATGATATATTAATAAACTGTAGATTTTCTCTAAATTAATTAGTTAATATTAATATGATTAGAGAATAAAACGTCAGTGAGGTGCATTTTACCAAGAACTCTCGTTATTTGTATTGTTTATGACTTCAGTTATACTTTCTTTAAGTGAATAGTTTCATCCAAGCAAAAATATATATTATAAATCCCATTACACTTTTTTAAAAATATCAATTTTTTGTCCCCAACGAACCAGTCATTATTCGAGAGCAATGCATCAAATACAGACATATTGCAAATAAACACACACAACCAAATCAAAATCATCCAAAAAAAATCATAAAAAACTTTTACTATAATAGTAAATAAGAAATATTGTTCGCGTGGATTTCCAAAAAGGCATCTGCTACTAACCGCTGACGTTGTTTACCTGCCGATAGATGGCGTTGAATCAGTCTCTTCAGTAAACAGAGCCGAAAACATGGTACGGAGTGGCGAGTGGTCGTCTTATTTCTTGCTTTTACATGTGTTCTGCTGACTAAACTTGAGTGAAATATTATCTTGAAGTGTATATAGCATAGTGGAGAATCCCTTCGATATAGATTTAAGGGCGATGTGTCTACGGATTTGGTGATATTTAGGGATAAAGTTAGGTAATGGTCTTGTGTTTCCAAGTCGAGGCATGGAAGGCGAGCGCACTGACAACATGGGACATTTGGCGAAAGTTCTTTTTTGACGCGAACTCTTGTAATTAGTTTATTCAGGAGTGTTAGAACGAAGTAGAATAACTATGTAAGATATATATTCAAGTGAACGGCGTATGTAAACGTGTTAAATTGTGTTAATTTGACTTCTGTTCCACAATTTTTTTATCGAAGTTGTCGTTTTCAAGATTTTTTCGACAAATTTATGAAGTCGATGAAATAATTAATATAATTAAATCCCCGCATTCAAGTTTTGTTTTTTTAAAGTAAGTTTCTCACTTCAAGCAGCGCACCGTATTTATTTATTTACGGATCTTAGAATTTCAATCATTCATTGTCTTCAAATGTTCTAATAAAGTCTCGTGGTAATTTTCGTCGGGAACGGAGTCGAGCAGTTGGAATTTATTGCTGTAATATTCCTATTCAGTAGAAAAATAGGGGTTTGTGTGCGTCCATGTGTTGCTCAGGGGGAGAAATACAACTGCTAGTTTGAACGTCTCCCTGTTTTATCCGTGGTCTACTTATCATGTAATTTAGCATTGTTAGTTTAATATTTGCTTAATAGATTTGATTTTCATTTTGTGGATAAGGATTGTTGTTTAAAGAAATACTGTATGCAACGTCGCAAATACTCACCAGGTGTTGATCAGTATTTCCAATGGGTCTGTTTCTAGCGATTGGTTACTCTTTATCAGTCTGAAAATGTAGGGCTCGAGTGAATTTAAAACCGATCAGGGTTTTGTTCTAGTGATGCACCCCTCTACAGACATTCCCTAACCCATTGTATTGTGCGAATCTCAGAAATCTAAGCTTTACCTTCCCTGCCTTCTGTGCATTGGATCAACCCCCCACCCCCCTCCCCCTGTACCCCACTTTTATTAGCTCTATTTGCAAACTGCCTGTAAGTGTATCCATAAGAACTGTCTGTGTGAGTGTGTTGTGATATGCTGAGGATGTTTTCGGCATTTTGTGGTAAATGAGAGGCCAGAGCTGCTTTACTTGTTTATCATCCATTTCTTATTCTCTATAAAATGAGTATCCGTTTTCCTCTGTACGTCGCATGCTGTAGCATTAAACCAAATCTGAAATTTTTATTGAGTAATATAAAGGAGTATAATACATCAAACGTGTATATGAATGAGAATGTATGTACTGTATCTTTCCATATTGCCAGCCTTGAAAATGAGTGTCAGTTATAGGGAAGTTGTCACTACGTCGGGATTTGGTGGTTATTTAGTACTTGCAGTGATTTTTCTCCTCTTGCCTTCCTTGCCATGTATAGAAATCTCGGCTCTGGAGTCTCTCTTTCTCCACTATTGTAGGGGTTTTGTTAGCTGAGATTGGGAACCACCTTTTTCGTGATTTGCTTCTCTGGCTGTGCCTTAACATTGCAAAAATAAGTTGACAAATTAAAGTAACGTTAAAGCTTTATTACACTTGGACTCTGTACCTTAGAGCCATAAATCTTTAAATGAATTTGTTGAACTTATGATAAGCTTATTTATGTAAAAAGTTATTCTGTTCTTTGATAAAGTTACCATCCCTTGGGTTGTAAAGTTTGAAGACTTGATAAGACTGAGAATGCATTGTTGATAAATGTAAAATTTATACATTTTACAATAATGATTGTGATCTAGACAAGAGAACATAACCTAATTTATTTATACATATTCTTTCATGCTCGCGTCTTGTATTTTATTTTACCATCCACATAGACTGATTAGTTCATAAGCTACCCTTATTGCAAATCAATTTGTTGTACAGCTAAGCTTTCCCGTAGTACTTCAAACATCAGCACTTTGGTAGGCATGCCTGAATGAACACAGGACAATCCTTGAAATATGAAAACTTCTTAGAATGTGATCATTGACAATGAACTTTTTCCTCAGGCTACCACCAAGAAGAAGACCAGGAAGCTTCGTGGACACGTCAGCCACGGTCATGGCCGTATCGGTGAGTCCTTGAGAGTTTGTTTGATACAAGTGAATTGGAATTTTCTTGATAAAGTTCTGGGTCTGTGGTCTGGAAATTTTCTTGAAAGTTTGAGCAGTAATGAAGAATCTAGATGCGTTTGAATTTTTTTTTTTTGGGGGGGGGGGGGGATTATTATGCATAGTTTGAGGTGGGTATCAGACTACCCTGATGTGTAAGAAGTGAATTTGAATGTCATTAGCAGTTAGGTAGAAATCTGTATATTTTGAATATTTAACTTTGGTTTGCGATTACAGGCAAGCACCGCAAGCACCCTGGAGGTCGCGGTAACGCTGGTGGCATGCACCACCACAGAATCAACTTTGACAAATACCATCCTGGTTATTTCGGCAAGGTTGGTATGAGAAACTTCCACGCGAAGCCCAACACAAAGTATGCACCTGTCATCAACCTGGACAAACTCTGGTCCCTTGTGTCTGAGCAGACTAGGGAGAAATACGCTAAGGAATCCGAAAAGGCCCCAGTCATCAATGTTCTTAAATCGGTAAGTGTGGCAGGAGTTGGAAATGCTCTAACTTGGCCTTCTATAAAAACCTGTGGTGTCTGAAAATGATAGAATCACCCTTTTCAGTGTTATAATTAATGTAAAAGGTTTTGAGGACTTTGATGGAGCTGCTACTTGAGCTACATGCTTCCAGAACATTATTGGATTAACTATTTGACATGTTTGCATTTGAAATAGATCATTGCTCATAAATAGGATGTCAGTGAAGGAGTTGGTTATTGACACTAAAGGCCATTGGAGCAGATGCAAATTCTTGTATGATTATAATGCGTACGGGCGGACAGAAGAATACTGTTGAATGTACATATCTGACTTTTGTTGATTGTATCAAGTTCTCTCTTGAGTTTATCCATTTGTTAAATCTTTTTTCCCCCCTTGTTTTTCTAGGGATACTTCAAGGTCCTTGGCAAGGGTGCCCTTCCCAACCAGCCTGTTATTGTCAAGGCCAAGTTCTTCTCCCGCAAAGCTGAAAACAAGATCAAGGCTGTTGGTGGTGCGTGTGTGCTCGTCGCATAAGTAAGTATATGGGCATTTTGAGGCCACTTATTGAATTTTGTGATGATAATGCGAACGGGCGGACATAAAAATGCTGTTGAACGTTCCTTTCTGATTATTGCAGTTACTTGCTTTGTGAAATGGGATTTTTGAGTATTGTTTTTCTTACGATGAAATTCGTTTTCTTGCAGATTCTTCTACAAGGCCAAATACAAGAATCAATGTCATCATGGCTTCTGTTAGTGGAATTAAAGTGAAAAAAAAAAATAAAGCTTTTCATTTTCATCCTACATAGAAAAAGTGATGGAATTATTCAAATGCTTCTTGGGCAGATTATCTAGCATCTCCCGTATTGAGATTAACATCTTCATAATAGTTTGTGTAAAAATGCTTATTATATTTAAAAAAAAAAAAAAAAAAGTAACATGCTTGGATGATTTGCCCAGAAGGTTAATGGTTCTTTTCAACAGGATAAGTAACAAGAGGTGAAGTGTGTGAGTAGGAGGAATGCATCCTTGCACTTTTTTCAGTGTAAGGGAACAAGTGAATGACTGAAACTGATTGAATTGAAATGGTGTGTTGTACACTTTTTTATTATTTATTTTTATTTTTATCCTGAATATGATTCTTCCGAGGAGTTGCTTCAGAATGCAAGGTAAAGTTCTTTCTTATTATTTCACTAACTATATCTGATACTGAATTTTAACATGGTGCTAGGATGGAATAGTATTCATGCCATGTCCAATGTGATTCTTCTTATAACAAAGATTATTCCATAAATATGTACTTGTTCACCAGTTATTAATATTTTAATGTTATAATAATGTTAACAATGTCAGCCATAGGATCAGAGAGCATTAATAAAAAACTAAAATCCCAGGAATTGGAAAATCAGGGTCCTAATTAACCCTTTGGTGGCTGAGTACTTTTGGAACCATCTGGGCAACAAAATGACAAAGTATACATGGTACCTCGGTTAATACATTGAGAAATATTCAGTTTGTGTTACTGAAAATGTACAACCCATGCTAGTGTATTTTTCTTTGTAGAAAATGTTTTAATCTGACATTCATTTGATGTTTCTGCAGGTGGTTTTGAAAACACAACTTGGCAGTCCATTATCATTTGCTTAGGTGGAGACTTGGATACAGAAGATGCCAGAAGTGTTGCAGCTCTCCCTTTGATGAATGGTATGTATATTTGAATTGGCCTAAGTAATTATAGTAGTTCTAATTCTTGCTAATTAAAGAAATGGATGAAAGACTTTTACATGATGATAATGCGTACGGGCGGACAGATTCATATTGTTGACTGTACACATCTGATTGTATAAAAAGTTGGATATTTTCTAAGACTTAATGTTGTGAATCCCTGAGTAAATGGTTTCTTCCTCCTCCTAGGATTACTTCACAAGTTTCCCACGGCCTCCAAAAGACACCTAGAATTCTTATTACATGATGAGCAACTGTTTTCAACCAAGAACTGTGGTCTCATGTCTTTGGTGGACAGTGGGGGGCAAGACTCCAGTGAATTCAGATAGGTAAGTTGAAGGTTTTTGGCCATTTAACACTTGTAATGGAACAATTATTGTAAGGGCATATGTTGGAGAATGGACTTTTTGTCAAGTGCAATATTTTCAAATAGAACACTTGTCAAGACAGTATGAAGTCCACAATAACTTTGATGCATTTATGTGATGATAATGCGTACGGGCGGACAGATTAATAATGTTGACTGTACACTTCTGATTACATAGGGAACTGAATTATTTTTAAAATGAAGTTTTTTGGATACTTAATTAATTTTCCTTATCCTTGTCTTCTAGAATCCTACACAGCTGTTAACAATTCAAGTTTACAAGTATTAACTTGCAAAATTCAACTTGGATGAGCTATGGTCCCATTGCTTTACTGGAGCAGACAAGTGAATTCAGATTGGTAAGTTGAAACTGCTAAATTTTATGCCCATTTAAAAAAAAACTATTCAAATACCAATATAATGAGAATATACTAATTTTGATAAGTAAATGAAATTTTGGAGTAGAACATTTGACATGAGAGCAGAATCTATAACTTTGTTACATTTATGTGATGATAATGCGTACGGGCGGACAGATTAATGATGTTGACTGTACTTTGCTGATTTATTTAAGTATTTAAATGTATTTAAATTGTTTACATTGACTCTATAGCTGACTTTCTGCTTCTCTTTCATTGAAGAGTTTGAAAGGAGCAGATAATCCAGTTCTTCAGTTTGAAACTTCCAAGATGGCAACTAATCGTCATGGAATGCGGAGTTTTCAAGTATTGCTAGATCTTGAAATGCTGAATGTACTATACACATGGTAACTTTAACATCCTACCATTTTGTGATTGAAGAAATAAATATTTCATAGTTATATTTTGTATCTGTATCCTTTTCTTGACAATTTGTTTAGGCAAAGATGGCTGATCAGCAGTTTTCATGAAACAAAGTACATGAGTATTCTAACTTGCCTGCAGGAAATTGTAATATTTAGCGATGCTCCAGTATCACAGACTTGAATTGATCTCAACATTGCCAATACGACAGCTAATAATCCTAGTTGGCACAATAGTAAGCTGATACATAATCAGAAAGATTGTATATGGAACCCTACAGATAATTCTAACTATTCCTGTGAAACATGTAGCAGATGGTCATGGTAAAACTTGTTTACAAGGACTTTCATATATCTGAGAAAAAAAGTGCAGAATCTGGAATAAAAAAAAGAATCCAAAGAATAAATGTTTTGGATTTCCAGAATGGTTAGTGGTCTAAAACAAATGTGCCACACAAAGGTCACACGACATTGTGATAGTATTGTGGCAAAAAGGGATAAAAGTGAGTTAGCAATTAGTATAGATGGACAGAAAAAAAGAATGAGAAATAGAAGGAAGCAGAAACTAGGAGGAGAAAAGACCATGCAAAATTAGTCAAGGTGAAAGCTCTGAGGCCCAAGGTAGGGGTGATCCTCCACATTGGGCCTCGGTCCCTACCTCCAAAGCCCCTCAGTAATGAGCAAGGGATTGGGGGGGTTGTAGCCTATGAGCCAGAGTACCATGTAACTACACTATGGTACTTCCCCAGTCCCTTGCTGCTTGATACCATGGTCCTCAGCCCTCCCCTCAAATAAGTTTGCCTGGTCGTCTCCTTTTCTTCATCCCCTTCTGTGAACTTATCCTAATTGTTAACTCATTTTTGCCCCTTTTGCCACAATACTTTGTCACAATGCTGTGTGACTTTTGATGTCTGGCACATAGGTTTTGACTATTAATCATTCTGAAAATCCACAAACTTCTTACCCAGGGGCTTTACCTCCAAGCCCCACCATATTGCCATATTTAGAATACACCACTGATGACCTTAGATGCTGATGAAGTTGAAAATTTTCAGTATATAAAATAGTCAAACATCAGTTTGTCACTGGAAGTAAATAAATTGGTAGCTGAATGCATTTCATGCATATTTTACAAGTAATCTTTTCATGATGGTTAGAACGCACAAGGCATTTTAAACTACTGTATGATTGATACACCAATATTTAGAATTTTAAAAATCATGACAGGCTTTGACACTGGTTCTTATCATATGAAAAGGTTGTTGATAATTGATTATATTTACTTTTATTTAATGAAAATTTTCTACCATGTCATTAGCAGCACATACAAAATATAGCGACAGGGTAGGGCTTGAGGGCAAAGCCCCCAGCTTATTATTTTTTGGATTACAAGGCGATGTTTGTGGATTTCCAGAATGGTCAATGGTCAAAACAAATGAAAGGTGGTATAGCATTTTGATAAAGTACTATGGCAAAAAGGGTAAAAATGAGTTAACAATTTGGATATGTGAACAGAAGGGTACGAAGAAGAGAAGGAAAAGAAAAAAATTAGTATGAGGTAAGAGCTAAGGCCCAAAGCAGGGGTGATCCCCTACATTGGGCCTCAGTGTCCAGGTATAGTTGACCATAGCTCCTGTGTGTTTGTGAAAGTTAGGTCTAATTTGAGCATCATCAAATTTCTCCAAAGATAGGCCCCCTACACATAAGAGTACATGCTTAACCCATTGCCGCTGGGGATGGCATGTACGTACATGCCTTGCCCACTGTGAGTCGACTTGTTCGATTGTTTTTACACATAGATGGCTACACTTGTACTAAGTATCCAATGAGCCAATTACGAGAACTGCCTGTCTCGCCCGTTCACCCTTTTCATCGATTTACAAAAATATTTAACGCTATCCTAATTTGCTGTTAAAAATAACACCATCTATATTTATAACACGAGTAAGAATATGTTTTTTCCCGCCAATTCAAGGAAAGGTGAAATCAGGACTAGCAGAGCCATCTATGGGCAGAGACATTTCACAAAAATATAAAAAACGAGTACTGTATTTACCCCATTTTTTGTTCATTTTCCCCGGCGGCAATGGGTTAATGCTTGCTTTCTGGGCAAATCAAGGGGGTAACCAGAGAAGGCCATTTTCCAGGCAGGTTGACCATTTGCTGATGGTTACAGATAGACCACCCTGCCAGACACCAGGAACCTTCTACATATGAGACACAGGCTTAGTAGGGGGGGGGTTTAGGACATGCAGGCTGAAGTTCATTGCAAGGGATCACCCCTGCCTTGGAACTAAGACCTTCCCTCACCTAAATTTGCATGGTCTTTTCTTCCCCTCCTTTCCCTTTCCTTCTCTTCTCCATCCTCTTCTGTCCCCTTATCCTAATCGTTAATTAATTTTTACCCTTTTCCCCACAATACTTATTCATAATGCTATATAAATTTTGATGTCTAGCACATTTACTTGATAGGACTATTTACCATTCTAACATCCAGAAACATCACTTTTTGGACAAAACAAAACAAAATCTTACCCTGGGTGTTTGTCCTCCAAGTCCCACCCTATTACTATATTTTTAATTTTTAAATGTTGATACAGCAGAATTTTTTCAACAAATAAATAAAAACAAGCTTTGCCTGGTAAATGAGAAAAGACCTATGCAATGCAGAATTAGTAAAAGAAAAATTCTACTTTTCAATTTCATGTTTAAAATACTAGCCTGGTTATTCATTAAGTTTTACTGATAAAATAACATTTTGTAAGTTATCTCACTGCTATTGAAATTTTTGAGGATTATGTTATTTACATTTTATTTTCCAAATCTGGGTTTGTTATATCCTTAGGAACAAATTAATGAACTTCAAGTTTTATGTACAAAATTTTATGGTTACAATATTTAAATACATATATATTCAATTAAAGTTGCCGAGATGTATATCTTCAATTCATATATATACAAATTATCTATCATTTGTAGTAAAGGAAAGAGAAAATGATACAAAAGCAACCTTAGAAGACCATTACCTGGCCCAAACCATCTTTATAAATAAATCTTAATTCACTACACAACAAAAATTAAACAGTAACGATATTATAGGACACTAATTGTGATAGGATTCTTTTTTTCATTTACTTAACTCTACAGTCTATCTTGTACTTTTGCCATACTTACAAGACATGACATTTCTTTACACAAACACTTAACACAATATTCACCAAAATTCTGTACACAACGCACTAAAATAGTTTTTTTTCTTCTGGACATATTACCAAAGCTCATACTCGAGTCCATTTATTTCTCCATCCTTTCAATGTTTCCATTATCACCTTTTCGCGTCATCCCTTTTACAAGCTGTCCAATCCATTCATCGTTACATCATCAACCTTTTCCAGTCTTCAAAATTATGGGTATCACTCCTCGCTAGACATGTTAACTGAGGACTTCCCATTTTCCTGCCTTCTTTTATGGTCATTATCACTCACTCAACCATCTCCTCTTCTTTATTCTTTAGAGGTATTTCTTCGTATATATATTTATTCTCTTGTTATCAATCATTCACCTACTCTTCCATATTTATCCATATTTATTCATTATATCCCTGTCATTGCTCACTCATCCATCTCCTCTTCATCATCGTCATCATCATCATTCCCTCCTGCCGCTTCCATGTCAATCTGCAGGTCGTCCAGCATCTCCTCCAGGCTGATCCTGGGCACCTCACCAGCCTCGCTCTCTGTGTCTGTGTTCTGGAGTTTGTCAGAGTCGCGGTAGATGTTGACGTTGTGGCGGAGCTGCTGGTCTTCCTCCAGGTCTTCCAGGAAGTCGATATAATCCCTAAAACAGGAAGATAAGATCGTAGTATGAAATTACAAAGCCTTAAGAAAAAATTACTGAAAAAAGTTTTAGTAAGAGAGATGAATGAATGATAGAAAAAATGGATCCAGAAGTTCAGATGAGCAAAGATACATTAATAAGAATAAAACACTAGCAGTATATTCTAAAAAAAAAATCACTATGAACAAAGATGCAAAAATAGAGAACAATTAAATTTTAAAAAAAACATGAAGCACAAACAAAGGCACAAATTACTCACTTGTTCTGGCTATTGGTATCGTCATCCAGACCGAGATGCCGCAACTTGAAGCGACGTCTGCGATTGCGGGTAGCCTTGTCAGCATACACCTTCTTGACCAGTACAACGTCAGGCACATGATCCGCATTCATTTTGTCTATATTGTCATCGTTGACATTAGATGTAGACATGTCAAATCTGTTTGACAGAACAAAAAGTATCAGCAAGTGTACTCATGTAGTTATTCAATGGAAGTGAAACATACGATAAAATATCTTTAAAAATAGCACCAAACAACTATATAACAGTAATAACAGCAAAAATAAAGATAAATGAATCACACCAACTATGCCATCAATAACAACAAAAAAGCAAAAGCAAACATACCCTAAAACTGTGTCCCCAGGATTGAGAAGGTGACCCAGATGAGTTCGACAGAAGAGCATATTATCCGTCCCCAGCTCGCTTTCCCGCTGCACCCAGACCTCGCCTACCTGATGCTGTGGGGGTAATTATAGTAATGAGTCTTTCACTGGGGATAATTTGTAATGAGTGTTTCACTGGGGGGTAATTAGTAATGAGTCTCACATTACCTTCATAATGTGACCTCCAAACCATCATGTAACAGAATCAAGACCTCTCTACAGCAAAATAAGTGCTCATGCTACTTACTTTCGAAGATATGTGTCCTTGGCCTTTGAATCGCTTCACCTGGGCCTCAGAAATGTCCATCACAATGAAATGGATCAGTTTCTTTGATGTGCAGAGAGCCTTGAATGGAGCTTTCCAGTAGGTGCTGCTGTTCAGTTCAGCCACTAAAAGAAAGACATGCAATTTTTTTCATCTCCTTTTCCAGATTTTCTTCTTAAACTACTAATAATGTTTATAATACAAAAATATCAGTTACAATTATACTAGTATATTCATATCTTCTCCATACATACAAATGAAAAAGGGAAAATGT